TAACGAATCGTTACTTTCTAAGTGACGGTAACGGTAACGCGTTACTTTTTACAATCAGTAACGAGAAACGGTAACGAGTTACTTTTTACAAAAAGTTACGGTAACGGTAACGCGTTACTTTTTTAAGGTAACGTTCCCAACCTTGAATATATACAATTGTCAGATGAAATATACTAACCTTTGTCTCCATCCTTTCTTCAGAGAAGGCTTGGGAACAGAGAGAGGCCTCTGGTTTCCGCGTATACCCATAATAAATTACAGTAATACACGACTATTTCACTACTACACAACGTATACTTGAATTTAATTGTATTATATACTACTCTATATAGTATATTTAATTATATACTATAGTTTAGTCACACGTAACGAAACGTAACTGAAGTAACTCACTGCTACGATAGAGCGTCAGTACTAAAAACCGTATCGAAAAACACAAATCAATATTGTGTAGCTGCTTTGTCTACCGCATAGCAGTCTGGAAGAGCATCGATATTGCGATGTTCACTTGTTTTTGGACGAGTACGGTCGCGCGCCTCGCGAGAGTCGCGAGCTCAAGGCAGTCGCGCCTAGGCTGTGCTGTGAGTGACAATACTACGGAAATGTATCAACGGCGAGGTCGTAAATGTAAGTATAAAATAGTAATATGAAAGTATATTTTATTTAGGTATAATGTATAATATATTACTTTTTCTTTTTCAGCAAAAAGTGAAGGCGCCACCGGGGAAGGGTGGACCCCGCCAAAAGCGCCGGCGACGGCCCAGACAAGGGCCTCGGCGACGGCTCAGGTAAGAGCCCTGTCGACGGCCCAGGCAAGGGCCCCGACGACGGCCCAGGCAAGGGCCCCGTCGACGGTGCAGGCAAGGGCCCCGTCGACGGCCCAGGCAAGGGCCCCGACGACGGCCCAGGCAAGGGCCCCGTCGACGGTGCAGGCAAGGGCCCCGTCGACGGCGCAGGCAAGGGCCCCGGCGACGGCCCCGGCGACGGCCACGGCAAGGACCCCGGCGACGGCCCCGGCGACGGCACCGGCGACGCCACCGGCGACGGCATCGGCGACGGCATCGGCGACGGCACCGGCGACGGCACCGGCGACGGCCCCGGCAAAGGCCTCGGCGACGGCCCTGGCGACGGCCCCGGCGTTTAGGCGAGGAGGAGGACGAGGAGGAGGAGGCGGAAAACGTTTCCCCAACGGAAAGGCGAATGCGGTATCGAAAAAGGTAAGGAGTGTTCCCTCTTTCCGTCCCTTCGCCTGCCGCCTCGCCCGTCTGCCCGCCCGTCCGCCGCTTCCTCCGCGTGCCCGGCCTTCCGTCGCTTCGTCCGCGTGCCCGTTCTTCCGTCGCTTCGTCCGCGTGCCCGTCCTTCCGCCGCTTCGTCCGCGTGCCCGGCTTTCCGTCGCTTCGTCCGCGTGCCCGGCTTTCCGTCGCTTCGTCCGCGTGCCCGTCCTTCCGCCGCTTCGTCCGCGTGCCCGTCTTTCCGTCGCTACGTTCGCGTGTCTGTCTTT